TTTTTTTTTTTTTTTTTTTTTTTTATAGAAATTCGATAAATAGTTTTTAAAATTTAGTTGTTTCTCCTAAAAACCAGCCATTAATGTTGAAAAAGTTAGAATATTTTATTTGCAAGCTTTTTTTGCTCTTTATTTTAATCATTTTCGTAAGATTAATTTCAGAAAGAAGGAAGTTATTCAAATTTACATAATCACAGTTTCTTCCTCCTTTTTTCCAAAATTTACCGTTGACTTCTGTTTAACATTGATAAAAAAAAGTAGTAGTGGTAGTAATAATAAATATTATTGTTAGATCTTTTTTTTGAAATACTTGTCACATTAATTAGTGCAATTTCTATGTGCTTAATTATAAGTATAAAAAAAGTTTTTCAAATTTTATTTTATAGAATATTAAAGTTCTCAGTGGACACTTTAAAACCACCTCATACGTTGAATAATTTTTCAAAGATCATTAAAAAAAAGGAACTTTCCTCAACCAAATTTTTGATGTCAGAAGTGCAACTACTTTTTTCTGCTACTGTAATTCAACTAAAATGTTACTAGAAAAAAATTAGATACTTCTTAACCAAAGAAGCTTTTCTATGCAGCAATAATTTCCAGCATTTAAAAAAGCAGCACATGTACAGTGATACTGATCAAAACCTATGGTTCAGCAATAGCAGTGGTAGCGGCATCAGCTACAATAAGAAAGAACAGCAAAAAAAATTATACATGACTGAAAAATAGCTGTTATAAGAAGCAGAAAAAAGTGTTATAAATGGCTTCTTGAATTTCGTTAACCAGTTAGACTATAAAAGGTATCAAAAACTTTTGATGTTTGATACTGCTGCTGGGATACAATTTGCAGTTGACTACTTCGGCTGAAAATTTGCCAGCCAAAAGCACAAAAGTATATGTAAACGATACTTACAAAGATTGGCATTGACCTGACGTTAGAACAGTTCAGATATATAAAAAGTATTTTACTCATCTTAGTTTTAGAGAAATATGTAAAAATCTACCGATTTTTTTTAACAGTGTTATCTACAAAAATAAAATCTACAAGAAAAAAAAATCAAGTTTAACTTTTTGTTGAAATATGTTTTTCAGAAGAAAAATTTACATGCAAATGTTTAACAACTCCTTGTAGATCACTATTTCCCAATAAGTTAATCAAAAATCTTACTTTCAAGCATCTCTTATATAAAAAGTGATTTAAAAAAATTTATAATTTTACAATAAGAACCATACCTTTTTGCACATTTGACTAATCGTAATAAATGTTACAGCAGCGCTACAATTATTTGTTTTCCATTCAAGTTCCATAGTATTAGTTTATTTGCTGAACAGCTTTTAAATTACTAATATTTCTTCCTTACAAATTACGATAAAAAACAGTCATTATTTATTGCAATAGTTTTTTCTCATTTTCCATCTGCTCAGCTGCTGGCAATAATCTCTGATGCTGACGAAATTTCCTGAAATTTTATTTAACCACTGTTTATTGCTGTTTGACTATTGAAACCAAAAACAGCCAACCATAATGTAGCAGCGTTGTTAGTGTTGCAGCTGTTATGGTCTTTGATCAACATTAACAAGACGTCACTCAATTCAATTACTGTATTTTATAATGTGCACCAATAGCGCACTTATTTTTTGCAATCAGTCTTTGACACAAGTCGCTATACTAAACTATAATTTTACAAACAAATTTTTGAATTTACCACTTACGAATAGTTAAGTTTAACAACGCAAAATTTTTCATTCATAACTGTAAATTAATCGTCTCTATTGGCATAGACACATAGTCTGATTTTTTTTGATGCCATAAGGAGCAGTAACTGGACTTCTGTTTGAAGCTGATAATTATATTTTTGGTTTGATAATCTTATTGCTTTACGTTAAGAAAGAATTGAAAAACATCGCAGCAACAGTGCACTGGTTATTGATTCAACCGTGACCGAGATTAAGGGTACTGTCTCAACAGAAAAAAAAAAGCCAATAGACAGCTCTTTAGTGTCATTAATTTCTCAAAAGAAACTTTATCAACGTTTTTTCTAACTTTGAAATAACTCACTTTCCTGCCAAACTTCGTACTTTTTAGACTGTACAGCCAAAAAATTGACCTCTGTTGTAAACATGTTGATATAAGAATTAAAATAATGTTCATTTTACTGGCAAACAAAAATTATTTAACTTTATCAAACTATAGCACTGCCAATTTTTTGCCAATATGTTTAATATTTTGCAAGTTTACACCAGAACAACTGAAAATTGTTCAACGACGTATGAATGATTCCAAGGAAAGTCCAATGAGAAAAAATGACACGCCGAGGATTTATGTGGAATTTACGAGCTCACAAAAGTTCCTTCTTACAGATTCGCGACCAAATGCTTTTTTACTTAACTTTCGGAGTCCAGTGACAATTAAATTAAAGTCTGTTTCA